CACCACCACCACCACCACCAGCCACTACCACGAACGACATCACAAGGATGAGCATTCGACAACAACGTAGTGGCCATAATGTGGTCCATCTAATTCTTCCACCGGTTATCAGTACCTCTTGGACAAAGCCATGAGCAGCTGAGGTTCCAAGCGTTACAATCCCAGCTTGCAGCCAAACACACGCTCGTCTGCATGATAACGGTGCGATCTCCAGTTCAAGATGTTTGTTAGGTTCAGCACCAAAGGTGTGAAGTTCAGAGCTCTCAGGATGCAGGGTTTGAGCTTCATTGAGCTGCCAACTGGCTTGTACCTGGCCTTTGTAGGACACTGCGCCTTTATTGCACAGTTGGCCATAAGCCCTCCGTACAGCTGCTCGTAATTCAAGACCCCAAAGAGACCAGCGCCTTCATGGCCAAGCCACGCCTATTGAACTATTGGAAAATTATGTTCTTCCATCATGAGGCTATAATTACTCTCCACTCACGTATAGTTATCATGGCTAATCAAGGACAAAATAGGGAGGCACCTAGGAGCGTAACCTGGGGGTGTAGCAGTGCAACCACTGACGTAAACATGATCTCTTCTTTCTCATTGTCGCATGTGCAGACCTGTGTTATCATGCAATCTGCTCAAAGGATCCGAAGCCTGCTTCCAAAACAGCCCTGCGCAATTCTACTTCTATAACTCGGGGTCTCCCGACCCTGTAATGGTGACTTACTATGAGGGACAATGTTGATGATGTTGGGGTCCTCTTATATTCCCTTTAAACCACTACTACAGGCTTGGGGCCCACCTAAGGTATCCAATTGAACCCATCTCTGGGACTTCTGTAGTTGGTACAGGCTTTGTGCTTACCAGGTGGCCATCTAGTATCTACTTGGGCCCTAAAATAGTTATATGGCAACGTCTCTGGTTCCTAAGTATTTTCTGAGAATCCAACAGCCCTCAAAATTGAGGCGGTTAGTAACAGCCCTGAAAATCAAGGCGGTTATGTCAGGTGTTTTTTTGAGTTTTATTCGAATTAGCATTGTGAGTCCACGCAGAGCATGTTCATGATGGGTTTTCTGTTGGAAAGCGTTGGAAAGTCAGTTTTCTAGCCCATTACTTCTGGTTGGGCCACCTAGCTGAAAGTACTTGTATGGTCATCTCGGGTTTGATACGAGAACCTTGAACATAAATTCAAGTACCCCTTGAAAGCAGAGAAAACATGTAGGAGCGTTGTCTGTGTGTCCAGGTTTCCAGGGTTGGATTGTGATGTGACGGCGTAACCCCCCTCCCAACCTTTGGACCGCCGGTGCCGATCCGCGTCATCTTTGCTGCCACAAAGCATACAGAATCAGCCGGGGGTGCCAGAGTCACGCCAAAGTCACGCTAGAGTCACGCTCCAGAGGCCCGATGTTTTTTTCTATTAATTAGGTTCCTGGTCTACGGAAAAACAGGGTCACGCTAGAGTCACGGTAGAGTCACGCTGGAGTCACGCCGAACCAGGGCCCCTCGAATCCAGGAAAACCTTTCGAAAACCCTCAGAATGCCTCTACTTCCAGCCGTCGGGTCAGGCGTTCCATACTCGGTCATGCACAACTCTGTGCCATCCAACCAATAGTTGCGTGTATCATTGCGTAAGGACTTTCGCATCCACACTGCAGGTGGATGCCATTGACTTCGCTTATGAATTCTGTTATACTATGTCCCTAGAGCACCCGTGCGTCAATGATTCGATCAAACAAAAAACACCCAGTAAGCGGGACAAAACCTTTCTGTCTCCACAGAAACGCCGTGATTCTTTTGGCCTAGCACCCATGGCTCCCAAGCAAGTCATAACCTAAGGC